ATTAAGGCATGTAGATTAAATCAGAAGCAACTTCCCATTTAGTAAATGAGACTAATCAACGTCTAATTTTTCCTCTAAATGCAGATTTAAGTAGCTACAGATGTCAGTTTGTGTAGGGGAAACTCTAAATCGCATCTGCTGACCCCTAACGAGGTGCCAACGGGACTAACGGGGCTCTGGGGGCTGATCCTGGATCTGTTGTTTCCTGCAGTTGTTCCTTTGGCCTCTGGACCAAACGGAGGAGGGGGAGGCGGACGGAGAGACTTTGGATGAAGCTTTGAACCGGATCAACGCTAACGCCCACGATCTGCCGAGGCTCAGCAGCTTTCCTCTCGGTGAGAAGCAGAGTAGGTTGGTCCCGATCCGATATCTGGATCGGATCGATCGGCCGGCTGGAGAAAATGCAGATCCAGACTCCAGATCCAGTTTTATTTTTAAAGGTCCGATCCCACACCAGCATTAGCATTAGCATCTGCTAACCCAGAGGTCTGTGTCCTAACCATTAAGTTGTTATCAGAGTAAATTCCTGTTCAACATGAGTCTGAAAACTAAGTAAGTAGATAAATAAGTTTAAACTTTAACACATGCTCTGATAGGCCGCGATCGGGATCAGAAGGGAAAAAAGCTGGATCAGGACATCCCTAGATTTAGGTGGATTTTTTTTTTTTTAGATGATTTGGCAAAATGTGTGCTGTTGCTAGCTTGGATCTTAATGGTGCACAAAAGAGAGAAACATTCCAGAGCACACAACATCCGAGCATTCTTTGGGGGACAAAAATATGAACAAAAACAGTGCAAACTTTGCTCTGTCTTTTAGGGCAAAGCATCACGTCCCAGTTTTCCCTATCTGTGAAACTATTCTGTGTTCCAGAGCGTTTAAAGTGGCCTTTGTGTGGATAATAAGATATTTTTTTAGATGATTTTAAAAATGTGTGTGCTGCTGCTAGCTTGGATCTTAATGTTGCACAAAAGAGAGTAATTATTATTACTTAATAATTAATAATGATAATTAATCATCGGATGGGAAGTGAAAAAAGCTGGATCAGGACATCCCTAGTCCAGAGATTCAAAATGATCTTAAAACTTGTATGAAATGTACATGGAATACATATTTCCACACATTTGGATCTCTGAGGCTCCCTCTGGGATTCAGCCTTCTTCTGGTTGGTAGATGAAGAGGTTGTGGGTTAGACTCCGGTCCCTGTGCCCCCAGGGGGGCCGTGTCTGGCGGAGTACAGCGATGGGCGGTTCTACCGGGCGCGGCTGCTGAGGATCACCGGCGTGGAACCCGTCGCCCTCCTGGTGCGCCACGTCGACTTCGGGTCCGACGACACGCTCCCCTCCAGCAAGTAGGAATATAAAACACTCCCCCCCCCCCTCCCAGTTCAGTTTGAAGCTTTGGGAACGGGAGTTTAACTCTGCCAGAGGCCCTTTGAGCCAAAGCACCACAGGGACTAAAAGCTGTCCAAAGACTAAGGTTGTCAAAAGTATCGATACTCCAAAAAGTATTGATACTAAAACGTTGTATCCGGATACGATACTCATTTTCAAAAGTATCTATACTACCCCCTTCTCTCTGATATGTTTGTTTATGATCATTAACAAGACGTTAGCCTTGAATTGCTAGCTGCGGCTAATGGCTAATAATAACACGCCAACATTAATCAAGTACATATCCAACTCCGCCCACATCCAAGTCGGCCATTTTGATTAGGTCACCAATAGGAAGATTCCAGGCAAAAAAATTGTAATTACATATAGTGAAATTAACTATGAGCTGAGCCCATGCTATCATGTAGCTAGCCAGCTATGTTAGCTTTAGCTAATGTTAGCTGCTACGTCCTAAGTGAACAGGGAGAACTGAACTAGCGCTTAGTTACTAGCTTATATGTATTTTTTAGCTTACCTTCAAATGCTTCTTCAGATTAGATGGAGAATTTTTTTCTTTCAGGAGTATTTTTTTAATAGGCTATGTTTGATCGCTCAAATCGGCCAATGAGGAGCCAGCTTTCCAAACCCTGACAGAGCTATCTACAGCTCTGGATCTGACCCTATGACTGGGGATGATTCAGTTTACATATCAGTAACAAGTAACGATTCAGGCCGGAAAAGTAAAAGTATTAAATTAATCCAAAATATGTAGTGGAGTAAAAGTATTAAATTAATCCAAAATATGTTGTGGAGTAAAAGTAAAAATATTAATCCAAAATATGTAGTGGAGTAAAAGTAAAAGTATTAAATTAATCCAAAATATGTAGTGGAGTACAAGTAAAAGTATTAAATTAATCCAAAATATGTAGTGGAGTACAAGCAAAAGTATTAAGTTAATCCAAAATATGTAGTGGAGTCAAAGTAAAAGTAGGGAAAAAAAATCTATACTCCAATAAAAGTACAGATACTGCATTTTGGTACTTAAGTACAGTCCTTAAGTAGCTCTACTTGGTTACTGTACATCTCTGGTTTAAACAGAAAAGCGTCAGTGGTCAAAGAGGCCTTATTATA